GATTAACTAATGAAATGACGACTTAATTAAAGCTTTTTATTTAGTTGATGAAATAGAACAATACATTTAAATAAACGACTTAAATGCAGAGCAGCAGCTAGAGATGTGATTAACGAAAAGTGCATTCATACGACATAATTATGTACAGACATATCGTCACTAGCAGTGGCGTAGCCAAGATTTCGCGAAAGAGGGTATGAAAAAAAATTTAAAATTTTACCATTTCATATTTTCTAGAAAAGAAAAACGCTTTGGTTTTGAAGTTATATACTCATGCATATACATTTTTCTGTTTAGATTAACTTTACACTTTACGGTGACCATTCGGGAATAATTTGTTTTTTATACCCGAGCGCACTTGTGCACAAGGGTATATTAACTTTGTTCACATAACGATTGTTTGTAACAGCCAAAACGAATAAAGATAGATATAGACAAATGTATACATAAATGCTCAGAATGAATAGAGAAGTCGATTAAGCCATGTCTGTCTGTCCGTCCGTCTGTCCGTCTGCCCGCCGTCCGCGTACATCATAACTCGAACAAAAATTGAGATATCTCAACGAAATTTGGTAAGTAGATTTCCATTTATCCAAGGTAGATTCGTATTAAAAAAAGGCGAAATCGGACCGTCACCACGCCCTCTTCTCAAATAACGGTAATTTTCATAAATACGAAAACTGCGATATTTAAGTAACTACTAAACATTATTCACTAAAAATGTATATTTACAATACATTTTAGACGAAAAATAAGAATATTATAAATTTTTGGAAAATGGGCGTAGCCACGTTACATGTGTATATCTTGGTAACCGCAGCACCAATTTCTTCCAAATTTGGCACAATTATTGGCCTTCGTACAGCATACCAAATGGCCGAAAACTTTTAAAATCGGACAATAAACACACCCTCATCTCATATAACGGTAATTTAGAGAAATACAAAATCTTCGATAAATCAGTAAATCTTAAAGCTAATTTATTCAAAATTGATGCTTGCAACAATTCTTTACCTAGAAATACGTTTACGGTAAAATTTTGGACAATGGGCGTGGCACCGCCAACCTATGATCACATATATGTATATCGGTAACCGTTCTACCAATTTGTACTAAACTCGGTATTTTTATTGTGCTTGTCACACAAAAGAAAAACGTTGAAAATTATTGAAATCGGACTAAAATTACGGCCGCTTTTCATATAACGGTAAATTTCAGAAATGCTAGAAACTTCAATATTTCGGAATATAAGGACGCTAATTTACTCAAAATTGATACTTTTCCCGGCTTACCATGTAGCGGTAGCTTTCGGAAAGCTGAAAAACATATATTTAATACTTGCGCCGGGTATTTAATATTCGGCTCCGCCCGACCTTAGACATTCTTACTTGTTTATTTTGTAAATAGTTCTACTGGAATAATATATGTAAATACATACTTCCATAGCAAAGATTTTATGATTTTCGGTGAGCTTCAATTTACTCACATTAGGGTGGGTCGTTAGGCCGTTAAGAACTGAGTGTGCTGGGTAAGTGCTAGAGCGGGGTACTTGAGGTCAATGAACTTTACTTTAAGTTAAGACTCTTAATGCCGAAAATATGATGAAAAATGTAGAAAGGAGATTCTACGTTTGTCAAAAAAATTCCAAATAGCCTTGGAATCGATATACTTCCTTAGTGAAAGTTGATTTTGTTTTGGTGAGCTTTAATTTACTGGCATTAGGGTGGCACATTTGGGTGTTAAGAACTTAGATCTGGTGGGTAAGTACTAGAAAGGGGTACTTGAGGTAAATAGCTGATATATCATACTTTAAGATCTGACTGTAAATGACGAAGATATAATGAAAAATGTAAAAAAGCGACTCTTACATTCGGAATTTTTTTCCCCCCAAATTTTCTGCAAAATATACGTTTAGACTCAGGGGTACGGCACACCTTAATTTTCCGGCTGGGCCACAGATCGCTCCCTCTAATTTC